GCTGCACTATAGGTTACACAGCAATGAGAGAGTGGTCTAGGGGGTGGTCTCTGGGTCTCCATAGGAACCATTATCAGTAGGGTGAAAACTCCACCTACAGGAGCCTATCCATTGTCCCCAGAGGCAGGGAGCAGGCCCACCCCTATGGAGGAATGAGACAGCAGTCTGGCAACTGATTGCCCTCAGTGGGGGAATGCCTGCTCATCTGACCTCCCCCCACACTTTTACAACTTCACCACCCAAGGCTGGGGTCACCGCCTGGAGGCGAACTGGGTCTCACCTTTGATGCCCCTTTGATGGTCATCTCCCTCTGTCTCAGGCTTCCCAGGAGGTCTGCCCTCGGGTCTATGTTAATCCAGCTGCAGGATGGACAAGGACCACCTGCCTGCCTCACCCCATCCCCGTCTGTCCCTGCACCTGCCCCATGCACATTTTGGGGTTTCCAGCCGCAGCAGCGCCAGGATTGGGACGGACCCCCAAATCATCCCCCGACACCCACTTCTGAGTCCCTGTCATTCGCTCCTCACCCACTCCCGGCGCCCCCATCCATGGAGAGGGCAGAGCACCCGAAACTGTCCCCTGCATCCCTGTGGGCACAAACCCCTGCCATTCCGATCAGGTTGCAGGGACTTGTGGCCCTGGGGTTAAAACCCCCAGCCCCCCAAGAGGCAGACACTCACTTCAGACCCCCTCAGGGCCCTGATGTGACAGGGACCATGGCCTCAAATGTCACAGAGACTAGAGAGTGGGTGATAGGGTAGGGCCCTGTCCAGGTTGTCTTGGGTCTCTGACTGCCACCCCCACCCACCCCCACACACAAACACTCGATGATGGTCCAGGCGCCTGTCCCATCCTGGTGGCCACGAAGGGGGATCTGTCCCACTCCCAGCACCTGTGAAGCCCACCCAGACTCCAACCACGAATTCCCCTCCCTGGCCCTCCGGCCTGAGGACCCCACTGAGATCCTTGTAGGGGGATGAGGTACAAGTGTGGTAAGGACCAGGGAGGGTGGTAGTATTGTTAGGGGCCATGGAGGGGTTTCTGGCTCACACCAGCTCTCCGTACAAGAGAATGAAATACTGCCCGCCTCTTCATGTTGGAGCCACTGAGAGCATCCCTTTTGTTGAGGGACTTCCTGATTTTCACTGCCCCTCTGCTTTCCCAAGCATGTTACATGACATCCTGTCCTAAGCATGTGACACAAAGTCTTGCCATCCTCCCATCTACCAAGCATTCTGGATGTACTTTTCCCAAGACACGTTCTTTTGTTCTGGAAGCTCACCAGCACCATCATTCAAAGGCATCTTCGTTGGTCTTCCTTACACGATGCGACTGTGATTAAATCAGTTGACCCTGGGTAGAGCCGATTCGCCTCCAGATGGGTCATGGATGGGATGTAATGCTAGTTTAATATCGACTCTGAAACATACTCTTAATCACACAGTAACTACGGCTCGTGGAGGAAATGAGGAAATAAAAGAGCTGAACAGAAATGTTCAGAGGGCTCTCAAGAAGACAAAAATCACAGTGTCAGATATGACAAAATAATAATTTATAAATCATCAAGGGTTCATAAGGGAGGGAGGAGCGGGGAGGGAGGGGAGAAAATGAGGAGCTGATGCCAAGGGCTTAAGTGGAGAGCAAATGTTTTGAGAATGATGAGGGCAATGAATGTACAAATGTGCTTGACACAATGGATGTGTGTA